GAAAGTAAACCTACAGACATCGGTCTTGTTTAACAAAATCTGCCTACAAGAAAATCTGTCACCAAAGTACACCAATATATATATATATATAATATTGCACAAGTTATAGAGAAAGACTAAACACTATATTAGAATTAATAAAATTTTATCTTCTCTTACACTATGCTTGTGAAAAAGGCCAATAACAGAGAGTATTTCTTTTTTAATTTATTTATAAAAAATTAAAAACATCAGGATCCGAACTGAGTAATAAATTAATCTGTGCGAGTGTCATCTTCAAGGCTGTAAAAATGATGAAATGTAAAGCATGTAATGCGCAAGGATAGGTTAAAAAATTATAATAGTAGTTTGAATGGTAGGTTAATTATTATTATAAAGTGTTTGGTGAAAAGCAAACATTAAAACTATCATTAAATTCATTATCAGAGAAAATTATTTTTTGAGCATTACGTTGGAGCTTATTTTCAAATTAAATAGACAACAGTAGTTTAAAACTAAATGTAGATCATACACATTTCTATTGTGTACTGAGATGCTAATTACATATTTATATTGGTTAAATAAGGGACAACTTCATGAACATAAAAAGACTTAAAATGAAACACCACACACACACACACACACTTAGGTTTATTAAGTTTGTTTGTTTTGAATTTTGCACAAAGCTACACGAGGGCTATTTGCACTCGCCGTCCCTAATTCAGCAGTGTTAGACTAGAAGGAAGGCAGCTAGTCATCACCACCTACGGCCAACTCTTGGGCTACTCTTTTACCAATGAATAGTGGGATTAACCATCACATTATAACTTCCCCAATGGCTGAAAGGTCGTTCATGTTTGGTGGGACGGGGATTTGATTGCGCCCTAACCACCTGGCCTAAGTTTGTTGGAAATGCTACTAAATATAGAAAAGAGATGTTAAGTAAAGAAGTTGATGAAGTTTAATAAAGTTAGGGTACTTTTGTTACTGGAACAGTTTTAAGTTATAAAATATGAGGAATCTTTCGCACAATGTAGCCTTACGCTAGAAAAAAAAATCTCTGAAAAAAAAGGGGACTGAAAGAGCAAAGTATAAAATGCCAATACAGTTATAAATTTTCCTAGTTTCTCAATTGCATGATACTATGTTATTTCATTTATTTTTAAGAAATTATAATTTTACTTAAACAAGAATTTATTCCTTTTTGTAGAAACTGTCTGAATGCACACAAATTAGACAGGAATGTCATTATCTCTTCATTCACGCACTGTTGTGGTTTCTTGTTTTTAAATGGATACTATTGCTCTATGACTGATATGAAATATCACAGTTTATAGAAACATATCTCAAGAATCATGTTATTTCCCCCTTCTCAATATAGGTGAAATGGAATAATTTCAACATCTAAATATATAAAAATAAATCATTATTTTCAAGAAATAAGTTTTTTAATGTCAGTTTATGAATTAAACAAAACAAAATAGAAACTAACAGACACTTCAAAAAACCTACCAAGAAACCACAAACTAATAACTTTTTTTACAATACTGAACATTTATAAACTGGCAATACCAGATTTTTCAAGTCCTTTAGGCTTAGTTTCTCCCAATCGCTCTGCCAAATTTAATAATGCCTCATAATTTTCAACTTCTGAAGACTCTGGGTCAGTGATGTTCAGGGGTAAAGTTGGTAAAGGGTTACTGAGGATAAACCTGTAAAAAGACGAGCAGTTTCAGTTGAACAGTTCTAATTTGGTAATCACAAGAACATAATAAAAATGTTTTTTCAAGGTATGATAAAACATGTTATTATTGCTCTTATGAAGAAAACCTTACCTGCTACAAGATGATTTACTTAAAACTATTTTCAAGAAAGAACCTTATAAGCAAAATTAATATTTAAGGATAATTCTAAGTTAATCGGAGCTTGTGTTAAAAATATTATAAAGTAAAAAATCATGATTTTCAATAAGCTATAACATTATTTACAAATATGGGGAACACAATGTTTATATTACAAAAAAAAAAGAAACTAATTAAAATAGACCATGTACTCACATCACTTGACGAACAAGTTCCGAGTGGGATGGTGGATAAACTGATGCATTTCTCCACTGTTGGGTTTGGCTCACATTTCTTGGCTGATGAACTGGCTGCTATAATAAGACTTGGATATATATAACAAAGTTCCCTAAAATTAAAATTGCCATTTTAACAAGAGCTAGCGATACTTATAACACAAAAAAACTAATTTATGCATAGGTAACTTACTGCATTCCTTGTTTGTTTCATAATAATTAATAGTCCAATTCTGAAGATTCTAAAACAGCTTCAGTGATTAAATATAGTTGATTCAATGGACCTACTTTACTGTGCTGAAAGTAATGTTTTAATAAGAACAGAAAATAGAACATACTAAACAGAGGACATCAGCTTGATTCTGAGCCACAACAGATCCAAGGTTGGGAAGAAGATGGGCTGAGGGAGTTGCAATAGAAACAGGTGAAGGCACACGACCAGTTGCTGCATGATGATACGTTGACATAGTGAAATGAGGTGAAGGCAAAGTAACTGGAGGTCTTGAGATATGTCCCTAGTAAAGAAAAAAAGGTAATATATTGAATTTCCAAGCAAAAATAAACAAACACCGAGTACGAGGGATGTTACCCGAATATTAAAATACACTTTTAATGAACAAAAACATAAACTCAGCTAAATAGAAGACAAAAACAATTTTTTTTCACGTGGATAACGTACTCTCCGATATCAACCTAGTGATACATAAAACTGGGCTTCAAGAGGAAACTATCTGAACTTCACTTGTAATGACATCAATACATTTTTGTTGTTATCAAACAGTTACATCAACGATTCTGTTCTTTCCAACTGCTCTACATACCTGAGATGTTATGGGTTGCTGAAACTGTTCTATTGGACAAGTCAAGGGTGCTTGGACACTCGGTGCAGCTGACAATAACAGAAGAGGTTGGGTTGCCGGAGCATGAGATGGAAGAGGCTGTGGCTCTGGTTGGAGATAGCAGGTGATTGGATTCCCAAAGTTTTCATGGTTTGTTCTGTTAACTGCAACAAACGGAGTCCAAACACCAAGCTGATGTGCTTCTTGCTGAGGACTTGGCTAAAAACCAAAATGAAAATTCTGTAATACTTAACTCTCAAAAAAACTGTTCAAAGAAGTTTTTTTCATCACTAGTAAAGATGCAAGAAGATATTTTTCAGGCACTTATTGAATGTATCTCTCACCTAAATCTCAATTTCACCAACATATGACACCAGGGGAATCCATCATTAATTAGGTGATTAACTGTAATATTTTTTTTTTACATATTTTTGTGCTACTCAAAAGGACCTCATTACCAAACGCTTCACAGACCCATAAGCAATTTGGTACATGAATAGTTTAGAAAAATGTATTGAAAGGGCAGTGGAAATCTATAATGGACCTCATTGGTAATTCTAAGTTTTATATTATTAAAAACAATTATATTAAACAGCTAATTCTATATATTTTTTTCATTTTATTTGAAGGTGAAAATGAACACAAATATACTTTATTTTGTAACCATCACTATTAACACATTTTTTTATTATCTTGGTTTATTGACCGACTGATTACAAAAATTGTGATTTGGTGTTTGCCTGTTTATAAAAAGTTATTCATAATTAATATTTTACCAATAAAAAAAAAATTATTCAAACCCACACGAAAAACTAGCCACCAAGACAGACCGATTTTTCGATTTTCGATTTTCATTTTCTAGATATAAGATGAATGGTTAGACTTTTAAGTAAGAAAAAACAACTACAAAAAAAAAGTATCTGTTAATAAAATGCTTTTTACAAAAACTATGTGCTAACATTATTCAATATACCAAATTATAATTATTATTTAATGCATTTATTTCCTTTTTTTCAGAAATAATAACCAAGTTTTGATTAGTTTATGATATATTCTGAACACTCACTTTAAAAAGTTACAGTTTAAATGCTGAAAGCTGGCAAAGCATTAAAAACCGATAAGCCTAAATTTGTGATAAAAATTATATATATACACTGCAAATGTTTCTTTTTTACATTTCTCTTAAGTTGTCAATTTTGGTTTCAAAATCAAAAATGTTTAAAAATATCTTTTCAGATTTATTTATACCACAATTTTTTGACGTAATGGTTTCTAACGCTTCAACGCATCCAAACTGTAACATTTAATTTATTATACTGCATATACAAAAAACATTTCAGATAATCATTTGTCTCATTGTCTGGCCCAAATGATGAGTTTTGGTATTGTAGGAAAGACCCCTTGGGTAATGATTTGTGGGAGACAAAAGATTACCATTTTTACATGCCTCTGATTTGTATCAGAAATGGACACGTTAAGAAGGATGTGAAAAAGACAACGACAAGAAACATGTGCAGTTTTCCGACTTTTATCCCAAATTTTAGTCCTGTGATTACAATTGTTAGGATGAAGTAAAATGGCTAACAGCCTAAATCAATAGCAAAGAGTTTTAGTTTTTTGAGGATACACAGTCACTGTGGAAAAATGTTAAAAAATACATTATAAAATTACCAAATTTGGCCAATTAACTCAAAAGAGTGAGAAAACAATATTTAATTTAGGGGAATACTGGTAATACGAGCTAAGCATTGATACGATTTTTTTCTATAATGAAATGAAAAGAAAAAGTTAATGTTGTGTTTTTATATGCATTTCTTTGTCAACATTTATCATATTTTATGACAAGTAGTTAAAATGAAAAACCTTTCTATTTTACACGAGTCAAACATTTCATAAAACACTTATTTCATTGTTAGTGATGTCTGAGAATTGATTATTTCCAAATGATCTTTGATGTTTTCAAAGGTCACCGTCATTTACTTAATTTGTACTAATGTATGTCAATATACACCACGCTTTCAGTAATGAAGAAACAAAACATTTAACTAATTAATAATAAAATGTTTTAAGTCTTAACTACCATCTTTGTCTTCACTAGTAGAATTTGTTTTATGCATCTAAGAAGAGAGGTTTTACATGACACATAAAATATGATCTCTCTCACGATAAGCAATGTTTACAAGGTTTCCACTTCAACTTGAGCTATGCCTAACTCTTTCATAAAGCTAAACAAAGTTTACCTGTATGTATAATCATCCTTAATTCTGAACTAATAGACTAGAAGAAAGATGCATCCACTGTCAAATCTTGGGGTACTCGTACAACTAAGTACTGGGATTTGACTGACATTCGTGTAATGCACCCACAGCATCAAGCACATTTTCTGGGCATGCTAACCACTAGGCCTTTAGAACAGATAAAATTAATATTAGTAGGATAAAATAACTCCTATTGAATCCCTGGAAAGCGACAGCCTGGTTCGAGTTAAATCTCTTTATCTCGGAGATGACACATCACACTCAAGACTTCATAGCAAGAGCAATGCTAAATTCCAAACCCACTTTATCTCATTAAAGGCTGAAAGCATGTTGTTACCTACCTGAGTTACACCAAACACCATTCCTCCCTGGGTGTAGTGTACCTGTGAGTGAGAAGGCGGAGGCTGTGGCAAAATTCCCTCCTGTGGAGTAGGAATGAACTCTGGTTCCAAAGATGAACTAGCTGACTGATCTTGGTAAGGATCATGATGTCCTGTTATTTTGCAAGGGTGTCGGCCATGGTGTATCAGTGAGCTAATAAAATTATCACACATCTTGATGACATATTAAGTAAATTCTGATATACATATATTTGATATTCCTTATATTTCTTACAATATTGCAGGAAAAATGTGTCATGAACTAAACTACATTAATGACCCTTATAAAAGCTTTAACCTACTTTTATTCAGAGCACGAGATGAAAAAAAAAAAAAATTAAAGGAGAAACAATAACACTTATAATTCGCATCACTGCGTAAATCTTAACCTAAAAATTTAACCTATTTTTATTCAGAGCACGAGATGAAAAAAAAAAAATTAAAGGAGAAACAATAACACTTATAATTCGCATCACTGCGTAAATCTTAGAACTAAATAAATTTCTTTAACGAATGCATCAAAAACTAACAGCTACTTTGGAGTAAAGATTAACAGGGTTGGTCCATCTACTATACTGAAGAAGTAATGTTGAATACAATTCTGCCCTTGTAACGTGCATCTTCACAAAATGTGTCAAACGTTTTACTCAACAGTACAAGTCCGTTGTATGCCATAAATCAGATGCACTAAAGTTTTTTTTTACTAGAGATACGCGTGTGAAATGCCTAGGTCTGTCTGACTCGGACAAGATGATGTTCATGTTAAGAATATAAATACTTCTGTTCATCATACTATTTACGAATTGCATTTGCATAACCTCTACAACCTCCTAAAAGTACATCTTATGTTTTTTTTTCAGTATCTCCGCACACTGTATCCGGTATTTTCCCTACTCTAACACAAACTGTTGTAAAATCAGTAATGTAGATTAACGTGAAGCATTGATAACTCTGACATCACAAGTCAGAATGATTTAGTGTATTTTATTTAAAGTGATTAAGAATTAATTTTTCAAATAAAAGATACAGAAACAAAATAAATGTACCTGGTTCTATTTTGTGATGTTCCATTTCTTCCCTGAGCCATTGTCCGACGCTGTGAAGTTCCATGCCTGCGACTGTTTCTATCTCTTACAGGAAAACTAGCATGTTCACGAGAGTCAAGCATCTGACTTGTCAATGAAGGAGGACTGTCTGGTGTGTTGTGCATTAAACGTTGCTGTTTCCTGACTGGACTAAGACACTAAGCAAAAAAGAATAACAAAAAAAAAATATTAGTCATCCTTTGTCTCAATACAGCGAACCAACATGTGATGAGTTAATATGAAAACTGGAAAATTACTCTTCATTAAACTAATCAACTGGCACATCTCTAGATTTTGCTTACTACCATAAATGTTTAATTTAATAAATATGTGGAGAATCATAGGATCATTTTAAAGGAAGAGATAAATGCCAGTCGGGTTTAGGCCAAGTATACGTACAAGAGAGGGAATATTGAATCTTAGATTGATCTTTGACAAATGAGCAAGAGCATGTATATAATTCATCAATTATGAGAAGGCTATTGACAGGGTGTACCATCAAAAGACAATAGATATGTTAACCAAGTGTGGAACAGACAGTAGAGTTGCGAGATTCATCCAGAACCTGTACTGGGAGCAATAAAGCAAGTATTCGTCTAGTGGAAAGGTCGGTCAGATACTTTTAGTGTAAGACAAGGTTTAATACTTTTGTCAAAGCCATTCAACCTTTACACAGAACAGATACTTAAAGAGATAGATGAGCTCCCAGGAAGAAGAATTGGAAGGGTTAATACAGAACCTGTACTGGGAGCAATAAAGCAAGTATTCGTCTAGTGGAAAGGTCGGTCAGATACTTTTAGTGTAAGACAAGGTTTAATACTTTTGTCAAAGCCATTCAACCTTTACACAGAACAGATACTTAGAGAGATAGATGAGCTCCCAGGAAGAAGAATTGGAAGGGTTAATATCATGGCACTGAGGTACACTGACGATACAGTGGTAATGTCAGAGGAAGAATTACAAAGAATAATGGACTTGGTGAGTAGGAGAAGTTTAGAATACAGGTTCAGCATTAGTATAAAGAAAACAAAAACCAAGGTTATGAGGAGTGGTACAAACGAAAAAGTTAAGAGTCAACATCAAAGTGGATGGTCACACATGAGAACAAGTGGACAAGTTTGGGTAACTAATAACTGAAGATGGTAAATGTGAGGCAGAAGTCAAGAGACATAGAAATTGCAAGAGCAAATTTCATCCATATGAAAGATGTATTAACCATTAAAAACAATAGGTTAGAGACAAAGAAGGAACTTATAAAATGTTATATACTATCCATTTTCCTGTATGCTGCACAGACTTGGACACTAACCAAAGAAATCTGGAACAAAATAGAAGCATTGGAAATATGGATACTAAGAAGGATGTTGAAAATATCCTATACAGAGTATAAAACAAACAAGGAAATATTGGAAATGGCATACACTAAAAGCAGGCATCAAAAATAAAGTGTCAGTATTTTGTAAACATTATCAGAACAAATAAAATTCAAAGAACTCTGATAGAGGGCATGGTGGAAGGCTATAGAAAGAGAGGTCAATCACAGAGAAAATGGGTCATGGATGTCACGGACTGGTAGCAGTCTAGCTATAGTGATTGTGTGAGGAAGGCATAGGATAGACGGGCATGGCGAGTGTTGTCAGCTGATCTCCTGGGTGGAGCAGCTACAATCAGATGAGAGATATGGAGAATATACATATTTTTTATCTATTTAAAGCAGCAACAATCATATATCACAACAAACTTTACAGAAACAATTATAGATTGGATAAAATCTTTACCAAGTAATACTTCTGCAAGAGTAAAAAATATCAATTAGTTTCAAGGCTCATAGTTTATTGCTTATCTAACTGAATATATATATGGTTCTTAAAGTCTGATCATTGACCAACTAATTAAGCCCTTTAACATATGGATTTTTATTACACGAAGTAAAATTATTTCTCCAGTTTGTGTATGTTTGAGTATGCTTAAACTATTTGTCTTTACGAATACAAGAAATTCAGATACGTTGCAGTAAAGAATGACAATATTAATTAAAACTTTTAAAGTTTAAATATTTTAAACTACATAAATAAAAACTTTTTTGAAGGGGAAAAAACAACATTACAATGAAATTACGAGTTCCTGCAAACATGTTCTATAGAGATTCCGATTCATTTTCTAAACATAAATCAGAATTTATTTAGTTATTGAACTTTTGTCTTAATATAAAGTATATCCCAGCATTATTTTGTTCTACAAGTTTTTTGTAAGCAAGCGAAAAAATCTTAAATAGTTTAATAGTCATTAATGAACAACCAACCCTCACTCCTCGGCTTTTTATTTTACAATATCCTCAAGTACATACTGGGAACTTGTACATACAAGAAAGTTAAAAACATAATTACAATACTGAAAGGTAACTTGAAATTTCTATAGCCCAAAAATACCTAAAACACAACCGAGACTTGTTTTATTACCTCATAACAATCATGTTTTATTAAGTGTAGCATTTTTATTACATTTAACATGGTTAGATTGTAATTAAGAAAACCAATTCATAGTTTCATTTTGAGTTTAGTTGTTGATAAGTGTTATTTTATCACAAGTTACAACTTTTACAGTAAGGAAGAATATTTTAAAAACGGGTAAGAAGTTTGATCATTGGTTCATAACAAGTGTTGTAGCATTTAACCTCAGATGTCAGGCTTCTCTAATGTTACTATGTCAGAGTTGTTTAATGGATTTTCATTGACCACAAGGCATTTTTGGGGAATACCGAAATTACATCGTTCAATGAAAATTAAGTCTACGACAGATCTCGACAGTAAGATGTACTCAATTTTTTCGTTTATGTTATTTTCATGAATAGAATTTTTTAGAACATTTATTATATCTAGTTTTATTATATAAAAATTTTTTGAAATATATAATGGTGGCTGGAGTACAGTACCCATAGTTATGAATAAGTGAAACAATTATGATCTCTAGATAATCTATAAAATTTGTTACATTTGCTCAATGTTTCATAGGAAAACATATTTTATGTAACGAACGCTATCATTCATATTAAGGCTGTTGAATACTAAGAATTCAACCAAGCACAAAAGTATATCTTGCACATAATCATTCCCATTATTACAAAACTTTTGACACATACATAAACGATATAATATAAACATTACTGTATAATAGAGAAAGAATATTTTATAGTAAAATTAAAGCTTTCATGGGAAGAAAGAGCTTAACAAAAAATGCCATATAACAAACAGAATGTGGTGCCACCTACATTGTAGAAACTGGGAGACACTTTTATGAAAGTACCAATGAACACATTTAAGACACAAGCAAATCAGGGGTGAAAAAATGTGCAGTGGCTGATCAAATCTTGAATCGTGGCATACAAAGACATTTAAAATTCTCACAAGGTCCAACAATATCTTAGAATGCAAAATTATGGAAAAATTTCCTATAGAAAAATATAAACCAATACTAACCCAAAACAATGGATGGTTCATCTATTGAATTTAAATAAATTTGTCATAAATAATAAATTAAATATTATCCAGTTTGTCTAATTTTAATAAAATTAACGTCTAGTTTCCTTTTACTGTATAAAATATTCTTCCTTTACGAGCAAACAGTGTTTAGAGAAAAATAAAAATCAATAACGAGAACATATAATGAATGTCCCTCTCTAAATTTCTTATAGATATTGTTAAATATGATTATTACTATATTGCATTATCATTAATCTAACACATTATATGCCTCCGTCTCATTTTTCTCTGTATATAACTGTTACAATATCAATCGCACCATACGACTTTGGATATACTGAATGCAAGATCACTCACTTCTGTGGTTCTGGTCCAGGCATTGCTGCAAACAGCTAAAGTGGATGCATTTGATTGTTCTGCAATTAGATGCAAGAAAGGTCAAGCTTGAGAAAAAATAAGGCTACTTAGTTGTTTTCATATAATGTAAAGAACTGTTTACTGCAAAATACAGGTGAATAATATTTAGTGAATATGTATTAACAGTCATCCAGTTTTTTTCTTATACAAGTTACATTTGACATAAACATACTACATTTATCAGCTACCTTCTTGCATATATTTCAACCTTTTTTTAATGATATATTTCTTAAGTGCTATAAAATAAGGAAAGTTTATGATATAATCTTAAAAGCACAACAACATTATGAATTTAAACAGTCACCAATTACTTACAATTATTTTACTATGCTAAAGACTATGACGAACTAGTGACTTCATAAAAATCCCAAGAGCTATACGACACATTAAAAGGGCTGGAGGTACCGTGAGGATAAGGTACAATCCATGAAGCGGGCGAGGCATTCATTGACTGGATCATGACTACGAATTTGGAGGTGTGAGAAACATCATACGCAACTACTAAAGGGTTGGTATAAAAACTTTAATCTCCAATGTCTAGGCAACAAAGATGTAAACAAGTATTAAGATTTAGATTTAAGACTTAGGGTTCCATGAAAATATCGGCTGTGATAAGGAAATTTGACAAAATTGTCTACTGGTGAAAATAATTAAGCACGAAGTTCAGATGTTTTCTTCATGAATTGCTACAAATCTTGTACTGTTGGTCCAAATGAGGAAGACAACTGAAATTTCCTACATTGTATTTTTAGGGTAAGATAAATCTCTAAAGGGATTTACATATAACTATTTATTATTCCCTTCTGTATTATTTTATAGAATGTTCTTATTTATTACTTGTGTTTAAAGTACTAAGTAGTACTAAGCAGGACTATTTTCACTTCACCAAACCAATGGCTTCTCTTTGATTATTCTCCACTAGCCAAAGTATCTAGCTTTGCTCGGGTTATTAGACTGATATTTTACTGGTCGACTGCGTGTATTTTGAACCTATTTTAGATATGAGATATAGCCAAAAGTCTTAAAGATTTTGTTTTTCCCAGAAACCTATAGACGTCAAATTTTATTGTATAATAAAAAATCTTTGCTGTAAGTTAAGTATTATTTATTTACATCTTAATACTTTATCATTGCACCGAGAATTTCACATCACATTTTATCACAGTGTTTTATAAATTTTTATCCTTGCAGTGCCTTAGGATAGACAGTGTTCGTTGTCTTCCCATCTAGTGCCAAGGTGAAAAGGTTCTTGCCATCATCAACCCTGGACCAACCAACATAAAGTTGACCATGAGAAAAGGTTGAGACCAACAGCCTTGAGTGATTGCCCCCAGCATCCTGTTGATGCTCGTGGCAAAGCCGAGTCGAACTGGGAACTGGAGCCACTGGAATTGAAATGGCAAGTCAGATGGCATTTTTTTTTTTTATCATTTTGTTCTTTTACAACAGCATTTGTCAGTGAACCTCCACATATTGTCCATTCAGCAGGTGAGAATTAGAAAAAAATATGATACTTTTCTATAGACCTTCAGGAAGCAGAATTATGGGGCTTAACTCTTTCGACATGGGCTCAGTCCCAGGAACAAATCACATGACCATTTTTACTTGTCTATACTTTTAATATAAAATGTGTACATTCACTTAATTTGGTAGTCTTTTAATAAACATTACATGTCATTTGTATGAAAAAAAAATCAATTTTTTAATGAAGTATTTTTGCTAACAATCTGCCTGTGAATCAATCAAATATTTTTTACTAGTCCAAGAGCAAAGTGATTTTTATGTAAACATTAACAATAATTCTCATTTTCTCAAAACTATTAACCTTCATTTTTGTAATCGCTAAAACTTCCTAAGTAAATATGAAACTTTTTTATAGTAAAACTTTATGTTTCATCTGTTATTACCTCTACCCTAACAGTACATTTCATTCTTCAGCCAGTAGACAAATGAAGGTATAATGAAAAGTTGTAAAATCAGAAATAAAATGAGCAGCTGTGCCGTTTTCTTGATTACTGTAATAAAATGAGCAGCTGTGCCGTTTTCTTGATTACTGTAATAAAATGAGCAGCTGTGCCGTTTTCTTGATTACTGTAATAAAATGAGCAGCTGTGCCGTTTTCTTGATTACTGTAATAAAATGAGCAGCTGTGCCGTTTTCTTGATTACTGTTCATGAAATTTCAAAGTACTTCTCTTGAAAGTTAACTGCTAAGCATTTCACATTTATTTTCTATGTGTATTTTACTGTCTAAAGTAAAGCAATAAATTGCTGCGTCTCAGTAGACTGTTTACACGACACCGTAGTACGATACCTTCAAGAGCGACAAAACATACACAAAGAGAAAGCCGACTCGTGCCCCTGCTTTGAGAACAGGATTTCTAATGTATTGGATTATATATCTTACAGTGTTTACTAGGCAATTTAACTAGAGTAATCACACTGCACTTAGAATCGGTGAAAATGTTTAAGTTGACAACACGATGTGGAATTTATCAGCTTATGTATGTACCCTAAAGTGTTTACAACAAGTCTCCAGAGCAATAAGACTGCACTTTGAATCTGTCAAAACTTTTATCATATGGTTCAATGCCGATACAATAAACATAGCAATTCTTAGAATATTGGTAATCCGTCTGGGATGTTAGAAAATTAACGGCATACTGTATAGGTGTACAAAGATCTTATTGGCGCACATGGTTGTGAAATCCTACTTCTCTTTCAGCAAATTTATTCATCAACCAATAAACATTCATGTATCAAATTCGGTTATCGTTTTGCAAGCATTCAAATTTAGCCAAGCGCTCTGACTTTGGCTATTTCTCTACACTCTGTTGGAAGACATAGACGAGTCGTTAGCAAGTGAATACATTCTGCTAGAAACATATTTCTTGCTACTGACTTTTATCTAGAAGTAAGTAATTGTTATTTATAATACACCCATTATCTCTGTTCAATAGTTTTAGTACATAGTTGTTGACCAAAATCCATTGTAGCTGTGTCTGTGTTTTAGTATGAAATGTACTGCTTCTGAAATCTATGATGCACATAAAAAATAAACGAATACACATCATATAATAATGTTACACAATGGAGAATACATGATGCATAATGTAATATATATATATGTATGTAATGTTTTTTTTCTTGAAATGAAAGCTGAAAGAGAACTGAAAGCAAAGTTCCAGGAATTGAGAAAGAAGAAGATTCTCAACGAGAAGGAGACGCAGTTTGTACTGGATGTATCTTTCTCTTCTATTGAAGAAGACAGTCTGTAACGGGGAATCGGAAGTTGAAGAAGCCGATGCTTCAGTTTCAATGCCTCTGACAGTATCAGTGTATAAAACAAGATGGCCTCAGGTGTAACCAGCTCTTCTTGATTCTATCTTATGGACAGATCAAATTTCCTTTTAAATTACGAAATTAAAACATACATATTAAAAATTGAAATATAACCTTGTTTTGATGTGAATTTTCTTGACATAAATAATAGCAAATCTGTTTAATAAAATTTTGACAATAACTCTAAAATTTCATGACATGGATCCTTTGACCTACTCGCAGTGAAATGGTTTAAGGGCTATAGTGCAAAAAAAAAATCGGCAAAAATTTTTTTGAGTCAAATCTAAAAAAATAATACCCAGGTTCACACCCTTAATATGAGTGCACATTTTCAGGTCTTATCTCTCCTCTTGGAGCTATTGCAGTCACATACACACAGACAGACTCTTATATTATGATGCATTTTTTTTTTTATAAGAATATAAATTCTTGCCATATTTTACAAAAGAAAGAGAGAAGTGACAGAACCACAATCCTTAACGGCAAACTAAAATATAAAAAACTAAGTGTAATCCCTCACCTCTACATTCCCATTCCAGAATAGTTTAAAAAGTTTGAACAAACAGCAAAAAACACATCATCAAGCAACCCATTCAGATTTTTTAAGTTAGTAACTCTAACTGGAAAATAATTTTACCAAAGAAAATGTTCACACTAAAGTTTACATTACCAACCTTTTCATTTACTCACTCAACTACACCACCAAACCTACATTTTTCAAAGTCCTAATAACTGTGAACATTTAAATGAAGTTGCCTCTACTTCTTTATGTAGAGAAAAGTCTTAAATGTAAAACTAGAGGGAAGGCAGCTAGTCATCACCACCCACAACCAACTCTTGGGCTACTCTTTTACCAACGAATAGTGGGATTGACCATCACATTATAACGCCCCCACGGCTAAAAGGGCAAGCATGTTTGGTAGGACGGGGGCGCGAACCCACGACCCGCAGATTGCGAGTCGAGCATCCTACCCACCTGGCCATGCCGGGCTAAGAGTTTATCAACAATGAGCCTAAGTCTCTCTTTCTAATAAAACATCGAGTCTCTTCCCCATACAATAAAAAAAAAATCCTTTTCGAATATCCATTATCAAAATATGTAACTTTTTATATTTTCTAAAATAAAATGTTTTCTGTATTATGGCCCGGTCACTTAATATATTAGGAAAAACAGAAATAATATAAAAAAAAAATGTTAATTTATCCCCACTTTTTCTTCCGAACCACCATGTTAATCTTCTATCCACTTAACTTTTTCACAGGTACCATAAGTTTACTGATTAATAATCAATGACACACCTAATAAAGGGTTTTCTGAAAGCCAAGCTATGAATTATATTCTGGGTGGTCTCATGCAAAAAAGCCTTACCAAATTCAGAACTGTTGGTGGGGCAAGTTAACCATTCGATAAAACCAGTTTACAAAATGTAGATTTAAATTACATCTAAGGACAGATTTCAACAACTTTTTTTTTTTTTATTGATAA